ATATATGTAATTTGTACAGTGATATTGCTGTTGCCTTCCCTGCTGCAGCTAACGAACAGGATTTCCTTCCTCTGTGAGTTCGGTTAGGAGTTGTACAGCATGAAAGATGAGGGAGGCGAGCGGCTGTGCCTCGATCCGGAGAGGAATAGGTGCGGGGTAGTCGAGCGAGAAAGAGGTGAGCGGGGTTTCTTCTGCGCGGGAGGCGGGATCGGACGAGTCCCGTCGCACAGAGGGAAGCGATCGGGTGAAGAGAAGCAAGCGGGGTCTGCGGGGGAGGAGCAGAGCTTCTTCGGTGCGGGAGATCGGGATCAAGCCTCTTCGACGCAGGGAAGAGGCGAGCAGACAAGGGGCGTCGAGCGGCGTCTGCGATTCCTTCGGTGCGGGAGACGGGATCGAGCAGAAGGCGAGTACGGGAGTCGCAGGTAGGAGGCGAGTGCGCGAGACGCGATCGAGCGGAGTTGTTCGGCGCAGCAAGGAGTCGAGCGCTCCTGTCGTGTGAGATTGAACGCGAGGAAAGTTCTCGGTGCAGAGGGGAGGAGCGAAACAGAAGCTTTCGATGGAGATCGTCTCAAATGGTGTCGAGAGGGGGGGGGAAGAATGCGAGCACGGGGGCGAATTAAAGAAAGGAGCGGGGTCAGAGAGCCGTTACCGTGGAAGCAATGGGCGGGGAATTGAATTATTTCCTTTTAGGCACACTGCTTAAATGGAAAAGTTTAATGGGGGATTAATTGATAAATTTGAAATTTAAAATTTGAAATCTCAAATTGTTTAGCCTGTGTTAAGCTCGAGTCCAGCCCAAATTGCACCGAACCGCACCCCGTTAAATAAAAAAAAATGTGCATTGATATTCGTGTCATTTGTGTGGGCATATAACCCTAGCAATATGGGTGTCCTTCCTAGCTAAAGTTGACGTTCCGGATGCGTCGGCGCAGTCTGTTTTGTCATCCGGGGCCGTCGTCGTCCGGACGAGTTCGCCGACAGATGAGTCAATTCAAGTCAAAGTCGTGTGTGATGCAGTGAGTGTGTGAAGTGTGTCGTCAGCGAGTAATCGAGTCACAAAGGGTTCACCTAAGGCTGTTTGATCCTATAGGAACTCATTTTCGGGCTCTCTGCATGTTGATCCTTAGCCCTTGCAACTAGAAGTTGAGTGCTTGGAAACACTCATGCGAGTTCTTCACAAAAATGAGTCAAGAAATGGTTTGAAGTTCTACGGGAGGTGGGTTCCATTGCTAGTCCGCTAGGATAGTCAATAAGAACTCCTAAAGCTAGATCCTAGGTTCTAAGATTAGGAGGCTAAGACCTCACTAAAAATGAGGTCAACAAAGTGTATGTACAATTCGACACAGAAATTGGCATGATTTTCCACATAAATTGGGCAAACACATTTTATTTCAAGATCACCAAATCAAAGCGACACAACACAAATATATAAAGGATAAGCACCTACAATTCAAGAGGTAGATAATCTCTCCTAATTCCTATGATTCGAGAGGTGGGAAATCTCTCCCAAGCCCTAATCCTAACACTCCAAGACAACAAGTCACGTGCATACCAAACAATAATAAGAGGAAACCCAAATCTCAGGGTTATTGCAAGCTTTGCTTTTCCTCTTAGGCCCTTCGCTCTATCCCACGGTTCCAGATCAACCAAAAGAAACGATGCTGCCCTGATGTCGAACAAATCCTTCAAATTGTTATTGCTTGTGTCTGTTCCCAACGCCATTGCTCAGCCTCACAGTAGGCAGCAACCGCTTTTGTATGAAACTACATTATCCTCTTCATCATTTTTTCCACGACCGTGAATCTCTGCTCAAACCGCCCATCCATTGATGATAAACGCTCCTCTGTTACAGACAAACATCATCTATTTCATATTTGATGTGGCTCATTTATTTCTCTAATTTTTCCATCAAATAATTTAATTTTTTGTCGTCATTACTTCTTATTGCTTTTGAAGCCTATAAGCCATGATCTTGTAGTTGATTTGAATCAGGATTGTTTATCTTTCTTCAATCGCAGTTAGTTGGCTTAGGTTGTAACTTTTCTACGATTAAGGCAAGTCCCAATCTTCTAAGGTAACCTAAATCAATACACGACTAGGGCACGCCGAATCTAGAGCTTGCTTCTCAGTTCACACCCCGATCCCCAAGTGGCCTTCCTCAACTGGCTCTAATCGCGATTGTGTCGCAAAGACGGAGCAAAAAGAGGAGAAAGATGGGAGTTACAAAGCCTCTGTAGGTCGCAATACGATTGGAGCCTTCCCAGCAAGCTCTAATCAGGACCGTAAGAGAAGGCAGTGGGAGAAAAAAAATGGAGTTTGGGCCTCAATAGGTCGCACATGTTCCCAACACATTCAAATCATGATTGCATGTCGCAAACTGGTTGTTGCTTCCCTAGGTTGCGACTGTTTCGGCAATGGACTCGCAATCTGGTTGAGACGAATAAGGCTCCAAACCCAACTAGCTATTATTGTACGTGTATCGCAATCCTGTATTCCATCGTTCACTCACGCCTATAAGCTTGTGCGCAGAGATCATGTCAGCTTTGATTAGGGCAAAATGAGTTCAAGCCTTGTTCACCGAGATCCTATCGGTGATCTCCCAAAAATTAATTATTCTGATACCATTTTGTATGATTAGATACAGAAATAAGCACAATTTTTCATATAAATTAGGGCAAACAAATTTTATTTCACAAACACTACATCAAAGAGATTCAATATGAATACATTAAGCATAAACACCTATAATTCAAGAGGTAGGCAATCTCTCTCAAATCCTACAATTCGAGAGGTGAAAAATCTCTCTCAAACCCTAAACCTAACACTCCAAAACAACAATTCTCATGCATACACCGAATCCTAATCCGATTAGGGTCTATCAAACCCAAATAATAATAATAAAAGACCAAATTACCCTTAGCTAATAAAAGACAAAATTGTCCTTAGGTCAGGTACCGGTGTAACAGTCTACTTGCCCCAACATACCCGCTCAAAGCTCACCCAGTAGCCAAGATTCCTTCAACCAAGCCAATGAATTAATGCAATAATCCAATAATTTCAATCATCAAGTTGTTGCCTCATACATCGAAAATTTTGCTCAAACAAGTCAATATAATTAGGCTAAATACCTCATATACTTTAGAAGTGATTATTGAACCTTGATATTATTCATATTGATGCAGCTAAATGTATAGCAATTCTAAAAGCCCTCATACCATTATTTTAAACCTATAAATACGAAATCAAAAGGAGGGTCCTAGGTTACGCAATCTTTATACTTAAGCCTTTTTTCCAGTGAAATCCCAGAGTTTCTCACTATAAACTCTCTCTATTAATTTTTCTTCTCTCTCTTATAGTGATAATTAAAAAATTTCTGTATCACTCACAAATATTTTTAAATCCCACAATATTAATAACGTAAAATAAGACAAAAAAATATCAATTTGTACTTGTGAATTTGAAATAAAACATCATCAGAAAATAAGAGGGACAAGGTTTAGTCTCCAAATATTCAATAAAATTTCAATTATTAGAAGCATACCATCACGACGAACACAAATTTCTGGCACATTTTTAACTTGACCGGTTATGCTATCATTATAAACCCTAGTTTCAATGTCGCCCTCAACAAAAACAGCAGAGCTGCAAAAGAAAGTATAAATAATAGTTCGTTATCAAATAATAAAAAAACAAAAGGCTAGATTACTTACCCATCGAATAGCTCTTTTTAGTAAAATTGACAAAATGAAGGGTTGATTGCATAAAAATCATACATACTTCTTTGCTAGCTGTTGAACAGAATACGCCCCCAGGTTTTCATTGTGCACCGTGATTCGATGCCATTGAGCTGGTCTTGGCAAATTTTCATTTCCAACAATCCTTTGGTCAAACATACCCCCTGTCCCAACAGTAAATATGGTAATCGTTTTTCCATTCCTCAATATTTTTTGTACAGGAGCCTGCCCAATTTTGCCGCAAATGATAGCCTGAATCCAAAAACAACAGAAAGGAAGTCACAAGTGCTTATAGAACATCACAAGTAAATTTCAATGACAAAAAAGAAAATCAAAACCTTATGCACGCCTCGGAAACCCCAGCCTTTTCTGGGGTCGACACCTTGAGGTTCTATCTCCTTCTGATCAGATAAAAAATCATCATCCTCAATTTCATTCTTGTCAAACCCATCAAATGCTGAGGAGGAGAGGCATACTCTAGACCCACTTTGCAAGCCTAGAATAAAAAACAAACAGAAAGATAATTAAGTTGTTATCTTCCAAATAATTATTTTTTTTACTGGCAAGTAAAATAGGTTTCCTGTAACAATGTTCATCATTTTTTCCCTTATATATACTAGAAAGGATGGAAAGTACATGGTGGAGACTAAAGCACTATTACCAATTGGAGACCTGTAAAGCATTAAATAACTCCTGAAACAACAGAAAAATCCCCCTCTCAATGAACCCATCCTCTGAATTGACCTGCAGAGATTCCTGAAGATAAGAACATGCATCTTATAAAGTTGTCAAAGCACCATTAAAACAGATAAGAGAATAAATGCTAATGCCTGTTCTTAATGCAGTTACACCTTTTAGAGCTTCTCGTGTAAAAGCTTTCCCAGCTGCTCCTAAGCAACCAGGAAATTCAATCATTAAGCGAGTGGGTGGGATAGTCACCTGCCTACACATGCAAATGCATTCCAAATGCAGTGATGTGCACACAGAGCAATGACAAACAATGACCAAGTTGCTATGGAATATGTACAAATAAAATCAATGAATCAAACTAAAAATTACTAAAATATATTTCATCAATCGACAATGAAATTAACGTTGATAAAGGCACTTTCTGATTGCATACAATTAGAATGCATATAAAAGTAATTGGTGAATTTAATTTTCATTTAGTTGTTTTATTAGATAACATAAATACATCAGAATTGCGTTGCTTGTTAGATTGGGTGTAAACTTCGAAGTTTGATGCTCCAAAAAAAGATATTGGATACAATTATCTTTTCTGTAAATAGCATAACATCAATGAGTTGACATTAATTCTTTATTGGTTTAATAATACAAAAGGGTAACATTGCCAACATTACTTCTTTCAGCATTATTAAATCATAGCCTGCTCAGTTAATTAAACCTATCAGTAAGGTCTTAATAGCTTCAAAACTAACTTAAATTGCTTATGTCATTCTAGAGAATTCATGATTAATGTCATTTGAAATGGTTAATGCATATTATAGAAGCATTAAAAGATGAAATTCTGCTGCGGGAAAAATTTGAGCCAATTGTGATAAATCAGAGAGTAAAAAAATTTGATAGCTGACAATTACCACAGAGACATCGGACGATATTGAGAGAATTTCATTGTAGGAGGATAAGACAAGAAGAACAGCTAAAAGCGACTGTGATCCTAATCAGTGTGAGTCTGAGACCTGTGATGTCTAATACTTTTTTCCTTCCACTTGTCCGTTGTAACGTGTGAATGTGTCCTTCTTAAGCATGTGAAGTAACCATACTTTATGTATCCTCTTCTTCTAAATTGGACAACCAATAGCTGCTAATGAAAAGCGGAGGAGAGAAGATAAAACTACAAGATGTAGAGCCGGAGTTTTCCATATGTAACTTTCATATAATTTGAAAAATGACCATCTATTTTAATCTACCGCTGTTTCCCAGCTCCATAAAATGTTTTTTTGGTTATTCTATGCCTTTCACAACGCAATCTATGATTGACTCGCTTATTTTTATTAGATGAGCTTCATTTATGACTCCTTTCTTTTTATGATTCCTCTATTTTATGATCCTTCATTTTTTGTACTCCTAAATTTCTTCTACAAGCAACTTCTGACTTCTCTGGCTTTGTCTATCATCATTTCAATTTTAGAGAATGAAATCGACGAGGTAGAGAAAGGTGACATGACTTTTAAGTAGTAGACTAAACTACATAGAATGGTCTAAAGATGGAAATGTGAAATAAAAGCGGCAACAAGGCACCATTAGAATTTAGAGGCTTGGCCATAAATAACATTGAAGGAGTCGGGATAATCCATCTTTTTGGAGGGATTGAAGGATTAGATGTCAGAAAACAACTGAACGTGGTCGGAACAGTGCCTATTTTGAAAGAAAAACTAAATAAGAGCCAACAGATGACTAAAAGCAGTCTAGACAATCCCTGATATAGCACAAAGAAAAAAATTTTCAAATAAAGTCACAGCATCAAGATGGAGGAACCATGATTACAATCACAAAAGCACAATTTGAAAAGCATGATTATCAATCACAAGTAGTCAGCCCCTTTGACATCGATCTAAGGCTCCTAGAAGGTATTTGGAAAACGAGTCTGATGGGGAGGAAGAATAGGATTAGTAAGGGGATGAAATTTCGGATAATCAGCAATATTTAGAGGGGATACATGTTCGAAAACTGTCTCGACTGAAAACATTAGAAGAACGACGATATCCCAAGACGCTCGGTCGATTATGGGTGGTTGACACATTGCTCGGCAAACGGAGGAAGTATCATCTCAAAACTTATATATGTGGTAAGATACATAAATCTCTTTAATGTTTTCCCACGTCCAATTGACACTTGAGAAACCTAAATCCAATAAGTAATGCCGATAGCAACTCTAAAGAGGTCTGCTCGGCAGATTAGCCCATAACGCTCCTGCATCGCAAAACTTGGACTTCAAACATGAATCAGATAAAGCTTTGGAGGTGGTTCCTTGCCCAGTAATGACAAGCTCCGCGAAGGGTATTGCTCAAATCACCCCAGCACCGAGTCTCCATAGTTTCCTGCCCAGCAATGACAAGCTCCGCGAATGGTGTGAAACGATTGAGGTGACAATCCAGCCAAGAAACCGAGACCTTGAAAAATAAAAGAAACAATCCTGGCCCTCAATATGATAAAAATCGGCAAGGACACCTTAAGACATTTAATCAATATAAATTAATAAAGGCGACTGACGATGACGTGATAGATGTCCAATCAGCATTCTAGCACAAAATTCAATGCTCAATGCCAAGCATCAACAAGCCTATCTCAAAGCTCCATGTGAATAAAGTCCTGGAGGTGGTAGCCTACCCAACAGTGACAAAATTCGCAAAGGGTACGATGCAAATGATCCCAGAAGTGAGTCTCATTGATTAAATGATCAATGCGACAATCAGACCTAGCAAATGAGAAAGGCAGTGTAAGATATCTGTTGGGTCGTCACATAAAAAACGATCGACAATCTTTCCCAAGTCTTAGCCATCAACCAATACCAATATTCAACACCAAGCAGTTATAGCAAAAAAATAATGCTGTAAAGGTAATATAATAAAAAGAAGTAAAGGTATGCAAAAATGATCGAGAACTTCATTCATTTCTAAATATAAAAATGTACAAGTTTTTTTTTTTTATATAAAAAATATTTCATCTAATCAATATATCTTTACAAAAGAAATATATCTTTACAAAAGTTTTTTTTAGAAAATTCTCTTAGTTTCAACAGGCCAATTGGAGGATCCTCCATTGCTTCCAACATCTGATTCATCCTCAGAGGACCTCTCAAAGCTGATGTACATAGCAACAAATTTATCAAAGTCCACAAACTTCTGATTGATAAGGCCCAATTGAATGAATCAGTCAATTGTCGTGATGTTGCCGACTCGAAGCTGCTTGCCCATAATCTTTTCGTGTCACAATAGAATTAAAATTTAGTATTTTAGTAATCTTAATAGTAAAAAGATACTAAGTTGTTAGTAGGGGTGTAAACAAGTCGAGTCAAGCTCGAGTCACGCCCATATTGAGCTCGGCGTGCCCGCCAAATTGTGAGTTCGAACTTGAGTACAGTTCAAGTCGAGCACAAAAAGCGATCTCGAGCTCGGCTCATAGTGGTAGCAGCTGGCTCACGAGCTTCAACTACAAATTCAATTTTTACAGGAGCTCACCATAAAAGGTATTGATAGCCGGAGGAGGTGGCAACTCACCGAAAAAATGTATCAAAATGACTAGCTTTAGGTTAATCAAGCCGACTCGCGAGCCGATGAGACAAGCTGAGACGAGCTCGAGCTCGTTTAATAAACGAGCTTTGGTTTGAGCTCGTGGCTCAATAAGTTCAGCTTGTGAGCTCGTTAACGAGTCAAACTCAAGCAGACTCGCGAGCCAACTCGGCTCATTTACACCCCTATTTGTAAGACATGTTGAAGAAACGTAAACTACAATAGATGGAATTGGCATATTTAAAGTCACAAATCTCTCTCTACATGAGCTATACTTGCAAACTATCTTTCTAGATGAAGATGAAAGTGTTGTTGAAGTGGGCACAAGTGTTAGTGGTAATGATGACAATATCATTTAGTGCATTAACTTTAATTAATTATGTTCATATAGTTATATTTTCTTTGATTATTTTAAAGAGTAAATTAACATTTATATATTTTAAATTTTTTATACTATGTAAGCAAAATTTGATATTGGTAAAACATATGATAACTAAAAAGGATTACTAAATACTCGTGTCATTAAACATTTTTTTACTTTTTATAATTTTTTTTTTATCATTGCATACTTTAGTTACACACACACACCAGCTGCATAAATTCTCGAACAATCAATAACTAATGTCTTAGTTTATGCCAACTTTTTAGCCTTACAGACACTTTAATTAGTGGGGGATGAAATCATATCCATTCAAAAGCTTAGTTTTTCACACGCTTTAACAAATAACTAATGGCTCAGAGGATTTGTTTCTCAAAAGTAGGATTATGGAGTAGGGATGGTAGATTTTAGATGGAAGATTTTAGGGAGGTTGAGTAGAACATGTTGATTTAATGAAGAAGGGATATTGTATCAGGTTCTAGTTTACCTTCAATCTTTTAGCTAAAAATAACTTATTTGAAGTTGATTCGGGGTATACTTTCTTACACAGAATTCAAGAGAAAAGTTGTTTGACAGAAGGAATAATAGTAAGGCATCATTAATATAGCAAGCACTATAGCATAAGGCTCGGGTACTAAATATGTATAGATCGATCCAGAAGAAAAAGACATAAAAAATAAAGAAATGATTGGACGAAAAAAGAAGAGATGTAGTTTGAGAGGGAGGGGAGGAGAAGAGAGAGATAAAGCAAACCATGAAAATTGGTATTCCAATAACTAATAATGCAAACAACATCCTTAAAATTAGTCTCTTGCTAATTTAAATCAAATTATATCATCTACTTGAAAAAGATTAAATTTATCCAAAATAAAATTAATCATATCATACCGTTAAATAATAATAACAACATAGAATGATCAATACAAAGTAAATTAAATAATTGGTCTAGTTCAATATAAACTCAAGTCTAACCAAAATTCTAGATTTTATTAATTTTTTGCATTATGAATTTTTGAATTCCCTTAAGTAATTCTAATTTTTTGTTAAATAAAATGATCACAAAAAAATGATTTGTCTTTAATTTAAAATTTATAAACATGAATCAAAGTAAAGTTTTAATATTTCAATTTTAGACTTATTTGTTAAGTTCTACTACAGAGGTATGAGATATTTTAACATGAATCAAAGTAAAGTTTTAATATTTAGTTCAATTTTAGACTTATTTGTTAAGTTCTACTATAGAGGTATGAGATATTTTAACATTCTCCCAAGTTTATCATTAACATTAACAAAACAATCATCCACCAATGCACATTACGACACATAATAGTGTTAGGTTTTAGACTCATATTTGATATTTATAAAGAATATATTAGTATAGACATATCAAATTATCGATTGTGACCCATAAGTTGAGACTTTGGGGTTGCAAACTCTTTCGACCACAGTATATAGCCCAGGCTTGATCCACTCTTTTGATCCGCATGTCCTATCTAATGACATCCAAGTCGATAGTAGATCATGTGGTTTACTGCTGCTATGGTTCTTGGCCCTTCTATGATAGTTGCGCAAGATTAATTTTCATGATGCCACTAAATGGTCTAGTGGATATTTGGTATATGGTGCTTAATGAAGTTGAAATTTTCCATTTTAGAGAAAAGTGATGGTATATATGGATATTCATAGTAAGATAAAGATCGGATATACATACATACATATATATATATATATATATATAT